TGTGTCTATGCTACAAACACGACAGATCACAGTGTTGCACATACAACTCACCTCCAAAAGGATTGGGTCTATGCTACAAACACGACATAGATCAGGGTTGCACATACAACTCACCACCAAAAAGTTTATGTCTATGCTACATACACGACAGGCCATCTACTGACAACGATCTAATTCACCACTATTTTAGTCAAATACACAGGGTAACATCTGCAATTCACCACTTTTTGATTCGTGTCTACGATACACACACAGGGCGACATCTACACTTCACCACGAATGGTCTTTGCCTTTGCTACTTCACCACGAATGGTTTGTGTCTTTGCTATGTAATTTGATACGATATTGATAGAATCCCCACAAAACCTCTACTAGCTTATTCAATAACTATAAATGATCCACTCTATCAAACGCTTTCTCAAGGTCCATGGAAATTAAAAGTGAAAGATTACGTTCATTAAAATGTCTTCTAATGGTGTCCGTCAGTCCTAGCAGAACACTCGTTGTACTCCTTTTAGCACGAAAATCACATTGATAATCGCTTAAGGGGACCCCCCCCCCCCACATTCTCGGGGTCAACATTTTTGTTGATATAATTCGAATCTACACTGATTAAAGAATGTCTCTACAAAATTTCAAGTGAAAATCTCAAGAACTGTTGAAGATATATCCGATTTAGTGTGTCAGCATCAAGTGACGGCTAAAGGGTTTCTCAAACTTTAAACGCGTTTTTCTCTAAACATTTTTTTGCGAATGGCGGGCACGATAACTCAAAAACTAATAATCCAATCGGTTCCAAATTTTGCATCGTTTCTCTGGGAGTGTATAGCTCTCGTATGAACTAGGATAAAGCCAATCGGTGAAGATCTTCCTTATTTTTTAATTTGGTTTTTGGTCAAAAATCGGCGATTTTCCAAAAATATTTTTTCAAAGGTCCACCATTTTGTTAATTTTAGAGCGAAGTCAATAATCCTAGTTCATACGAGAGCCAGACATGTACTCTTTCTAACACCGTTGGAATTTTCGGATTCCGATGTTCCAGTGAGGAGTTATCATGCCCGCCATCAAAAATAAGGACTTTTCTTTAATTACAAAAAACAACAACAAAACAATAACAAAAATTTTTTGTAAATTATTTTTCTTCTTTTTTAAATCTTCAATTATATATGTGCAAAGTTACAAACCTTAACAAGCATTGGTATTGATTTACCAGCCCATTGAAAATCTTAAAAAATTCAAATCGAGAATGGGGGGGGTTCCCTTAACAGATTATTAGTTTCGATGTAACCCATCAACTGTTGTTTTAAAACATGCTCTACGACCTTTGCAAGAATTGGGAGGACAGAAATAGGCCTTAAATTTTCAATAGCAACACAGTTGGTTTTCTTCCTTATAGGAGTTATCTTTGCAATTTTCCACTGCGATGTGAAGGTCGAAGTCATTATTATGGTATTTACAATATGAAGGAAAATAGTTTCTAGATGAGGTAGAACCAGTTTGAGGAATATCAAAGAAAAACCATCAATACATGGTGCGTTGGATTTTATATTACAAAAGGCTATGTTTAATTTGTCTAAATTAATAGTACGAAAGCCAAATCTCCCCTCAACCAATGACGAAAAATGTCGAGATGTATGCTCAATCATCGGAGCATCGGACTGATTATTAATGAAATGTTGATTTAATTCGTTGACCCCTATATTAAGGCTTTTACATATATCTGGACTGTTTGCAAGAAGACCGTTATTATCTATTCTATTCCATAAGGTTTTTGAATTTAAATTCTTCGACAAGTATATCGCATGTGCTTGCCTCTTCTCTTTCCTTATAACCGTTTTGGCTTTATTCCTTGCTCTACAGAATATTTTCCACTTGTGGCTAGTTTTATCAGATATAATCTGTGAATGCCCAGTCCCTTAAGGAACTGTGGAACTTAATCACAGGCGCGTTCATCCATTCGGTATCATTTTGTTTAAACTTCCTTCTTTTTAAAGGACAGGCCGAGTGAATATATTCCAGTCCAGCCATAAAAGTATTTAACTGATTGTCAACATCATACGAATCAACAAATTCATAGTAATCAACAAATTCATAGTAATCATTCACGAGCGAATGTAATGAACGAATGGACAGGCAAATTATAACGTGTTTAGATATAGAAGGACATATATATTGATTCGAGAAAACAATATTTTCGGGGAAAGACAAAAGAAAAAAATCTAAAAGAGAAGTCGATTGATGGGTAACATCGTAGTGTGTCGGTAAAGAATTGTGATGAATTGATAAATTCAATCTATCACAAGCAGATCTTACGGAAGATGCGGTTGGAATATTAAACAAATTGTTATTAAAATCTCCCATAAGTACTATATTAGAATATCGTAGCAAAAGTTCAGAGACTTCTTCTTCGAAGGCTTCGAAGTCCCCATGTGGTAAATACACCACCCCAATAAGTAAATGTTGACCATCAAATGAAATCTCAACAAGCAAACATTCAACAACACCGTAATTGTTATCGCTGTAAACGACTTTATAGTTTAACGATCTGGACAAGTATAAGGCAACCTCTCCACCCCTCTGCAAAGGGCGATCATTCCTTATACAATTATAACCAGTCAAGTCAACACACTTTGTAGAAATATAAGTTTTGAGCCATGTTTCGCTTATTCCGATTACATCAAGTTTGCAGCCAAAAATAATGCTTTTAATCTCAGAAAATTTTACTTAGTTTGAATTTATACAAAGACTTTGGCTATTAACATGGCACATATTTAATGAACCAGACATATTATTAATTTGTGAGCGCAACTGCCCATTACTTTCACCTAAGTTGTTCATAATAGTAACAAATCACTTGAATTCGAAAATTAAATAAATATCAGAAGGGAGTAACCGATTTCATCCAAACGCAATTTTTCTTCCAAACGTAGTTCAAGTTCGAAAATAAGGAATTTTGGTCCACTTCTTCTGATACCTCCCCAACCAAAATTTTGCTAAAATTAAATTTTAAAATATCATGCGAACGGGATATCCGATTTGAATTGAACTTTGTACAATCTATTATCAAGTCCGAAGATGTGAGCCATTGGCCCACCCCTTCTGGCACCTCCCACAAATGGTCAAAATTTTCAATATTTATAAATCCAATATCAGATGAATGGAATGTCCGATTTGAACCAATCTTTACACAACCTATTATCTCCTATTTGAACAAAAAAACTTTGCACAGTTTCTTATATTAGGTTGGGGAAAAAGAAATCCATTATTTTTATATGAACTATAGGACTTTATTTAATATGCTTCGGAATGTCCGATATGCACCGTTTTGTTGTATGATTTGTTGCCATTTTAAACTTAACTTCATAATGCCTAGCTCAAATTCAAGTAGTTGATTTTCACAATCCTCCTTAGATACCAATTTTTATCATTAAAGCAATTTTGCAAAGCAAGACAAATATGATAATCGGTTTGTGCCAAGTCCGGACTGTGTGGCGGATGCATTAAAACTTCCCAACCAAGCTCCCGACGTCTCTGTATATGTGTGAGGCCTGGCGTTGTCCTGGTGGAACACGACACCGGTCCTGTTGGCCAATTCTGGCCGTTTCCTGTCAATTGTAAATGGTTTAAAACAATTTTATGGTGGATTTGTAGTTCCTGGGCGATGTTACGACTTCTAACATGCCGATCAACTCCGGTTTTATCGACATTTTCGAAGACCGGCCTACCTGTGCGAGGTGCATCTTTAACGTCAAAAATTACTGAAAGGAATCTACGAAACCAAAATTGCACATAAATGGCTGTTACAATATCGGATCCATAAACGACATTCACAATTATATCTTGGCTTGTGTGTTCGCCTTTCGGTAACTGGAAAATGTACCGAATTTTCTCTTTGTTCCTTTCCATTTTTAACACACTGTAACTCACAACCGAATGCACTAAACCAAAAACAGCAACATATTTTTTTACTGTGAAATGTCATCATTCCAACAAAATTGTTTGATCCATACTTTACGAGAAATCTATCAGTACAGCCATCTGCCGAAAAAATAATAGATTTCTTTTCCCCAACCTTATATTTACCAAGCCTAGGTGAAGTCCGAAGGTGGACTTGCCCTCTCCTTCTAGTACATCACAAAGGGTCAATATTTGTTTAATCTTTGATAAGAACATATATCTTTTATAAAGTGAATAATAAAACCTATGTGTAATTCCGAAGACCCCCGACTGACCCTTTTTTACTTGTTTTCTTTTCAATTGAAAGTTTTACGTTGACGAAAATGTATTACATAAAAATTAAAAAATGCTAATTCTGCCATATCCACATCCATATAAAGTCCAGCTCATGCAAAATGTATATACATGGAATGGATGCATCAACAAAAAGCGGAACAAAATATTCTTTTGCAATGAAGCACATTTCTCACTCGGTGGATAAGTTAATAAACAAAATTAAGATTAACTTGTCACCAAGTTCATGTGATTTGACCGCATTAGCCTCTTTTATGGGGCTATTTAGAATCGTTACATTAATATCTCGGAATATTTGCGAGATTTCTCAGCAGGTATTATGAGTTCTGATGAATTTACAGTCATATTTGTTGAATATCAAATTTAAAAAAATGTCAGCAATTATTATACCACCCTCCAAATAATTGAATAAAATATAAACAAATAACAGTTAATATGTATAAACAAATAGTAAGGGTAGGTTAGTGGACAACAACAGAATTCATTCTATATATTGTGGTCAATGAAACTGCTGGAGTTCATTCGCAGAGTAAACGTGAAGTCGACTGGACACAAAGACGGTAACGGTAAAATTGTAAACGCAGTGTTTTTTTATCATTTTGTGGAGGCAGTCAATCAAAAGTGGAGTGGAATATTTTATGACTAAATTGCAAAAAAGACGGAAATACAATTTGTGACGCAAATTTATTCAATGAAACTTTACACCCGAAATACATAGATTTTCCAAGACGTTCCGACTTGCTTTTTTAAGTAATCATGATTCTGAATAATGGGCTGTAATTCATCTATGGATACGAACAGTGTTTTAGATGAACCTTTGGGTGGTGGTGGTGCTATTGGTGGTGGAGCTGGTGCCGTTGGTGGATTAGCTCTGCCACCCTCCCAGTGGCCATTGTCACAAGCGGTAATTAAAAGCTCGTTATTTTCATAAATTAATCGATGTACACAATGTGGCTAACATACGTGACAGCCAATTAATTAATAGCTACCCATAATTATTGTATTCACCTTTGTCGTTTCGGGTTTTTGTTTTCATTCTTGTTTTCTGTAGAATCATTCGGATGTTGTTCGAGAATTTGTACGTTTAGATGAGAAAATAAGTAAATTGGAAGGTACTTGTCCGGGTCCACGATTAGCCACGTGTGAAGCATGGATAGAACATCTACAAAGTCGACGCAACGAGCTGTTGGGTCTGGATTCAAGACTTGTTGAAAATCCTCTGGCCAATGGTGGTTTACCAAAACAAATCACAGCCTCGGCACCAGTAACATCGTTAATCGATCAGACAACCAATTTACCCTCCCACGTAGCTGTCGACAATCGTGAAATGTTCATTGATGGCTATACATCGGAACAGTCAATGCCGCAAAACAACAATAATGCCGTGGCATTTTCCGGTAGTGGAGGTGTTAAACATAGTGACCTGCCAAATGGTATTCTGCCCTCGCATTCCAACAATTACAAGTCGTCTGCAGTTGGTGGCGGTGGTGGAATGGTTGGTAATGGTATTGGTGCTCCACGTTTATTCTCCTCTAATAACATAGTAGCGAAAACGCCTTCACAGGATTTAGTTAACGTAAGTACCAGGGGGTTCACCTTTTTGTCCCCCTTCTATATAATTTTCATGGTCTCCTTCGTTTTGTTTTCCTTTGTACAAAGTTTTTTTTTTCATATACCAACAAGAAAGGGAAATTATTGTAAACAAGAACATCGAAAAGCAATTTGTAAAAATATTTGTTTATATTACGAAATTCAAATGTGTACTAAGTATGTCATGCGTGATAAAAAGAAATTTGTGGAGTTATAATTTATAAACGACAGTTTTCCAAGGAAATAACTTTAATTGCTTGCAAATTTGCGGGTCAGTTATGTATATACGCGTATATAATTAAGAAATTTTAGATGATGCCTACCTTACACCTTTTCATACGTAAAACAATATGTTTTGTGACACATAAGAAAGTTTACAAAATTATTATATGAAAATTAAAAGTGTGTGTATCATCTATTTTAAAGAGCGCTGTCATCTATAAAATGTATGTCCTCTCCTCTATCTTCAATCGACAATCTGTCATCTATATTGCTAAACCATGATCAAGATTTATTTTAATAAATATAACAAGTTAAAAAGCGTTAAGTTCGGCCGGGCCGAACTTTGGATACCCTCCACCATAGATATACTGACAGGTACTTGAAATGAAAATATAAGGAAAATACCAAAAAGTGGACCTATATCGACATTTCCACAAACCGGTTATGTAAACCACAATGTAAACTATAAAACAAATTTCAGAATTTTTTAATGGACAATTATACCCTCAGCTTTATGGATAATGAGGATGTATACACTTTGACACGATTAAAATGGTTTCTTTGAATTAAATTTGTTTCAGAAAATTTTGATTTCATCCAAACTTTGGTCATCTTATTATTTTTTCCAAACTTAGTTCAGGTTCGAAGATGGGGAATATCGGTCCACTCCTTCTGGTACCTCCCACACAGGGGCTAGGTCTAAATACGGGTTATAGTTCATATATAGTTCATTATCGAAACTTACGTTCTAGTTTTTTATCTCGATATCCTCCGCAGGTGATATGATTACAACAGAGTCTTAGAACCAAACCCAAAACGCGGAACAAATTGCATAACTATTTTAATAAAAATAAAAAAGGGGGTTATATGGGGACTACCCCAAGAAGGGGGTGCATATTAATATTTTTTGTAGGGAAATTTGTTAGCATATGCAAAATGCAAAAGGCGTAACTAACAAAAAATTGAAAATTGGCTTTTTGAATGAATATTGTGAATGTCAATAAACTACATGTGTTGACAAAGTTTTACACGTCTGCGGTCAAAAAAGGAGCTTCTATTAACAAAAAACAAAAAGACGTAACTACAAGTGGGTTTATTTGATAAATGCAACTAAAAAAATTCAAATTTTTACTTAATTGTTATGACTGCCATTAAACTAAATAACTAAATTTATTAAAAAAATATAGTCTATTATATTAACAAATTAAATAACTTCCTCCCTATTACTCTCACGGAAGATGAAGTCTTAAATGGACTGAAATCGTTAAATAACTCTAAATCACCTGGTCCGGATGGTGTTCCCGAATATATCCTTAAATCCTGTGCTCATGAATTATATATTCCTCTTACTAATATATTTAATGCGTCGTTGTCTTCTGGTTATTTCCCTTATTTTTGGAGATCCAGTTTTATAATTCCCCTTCACAAATCTGGTAGTAGAAGTAACATTGAAAATTATAGAGGAATTGCGAAATTAAGTGCTATCCCCAAGTTATTTGAATTACTTATAACACGTAGGTTATCCCACATTGTTGCCCCTCTAATATCTCCATGTCAACATGGTTTCTTAACTGGGAGGTCAACATTAACTAATCTATTAGAGCTAACATGTTACGTCCATAATGGTTTTGTGAATAAACTTCAAACAGATGTCATTTACACTGACTTCAGTAAAGCGTTTGACACTGTAGCACATCACCTATTATTGTATAAATTGGACATCATGGGTTTTCCATCATTATTCTTAAAATGGATAACTTCATACCTACAACACCGTACACAAAAAGTATTATTTAATGAAATTTTCTCTAAGAACATAACAGTTACTTCTGGTGTTCCACAAGGCAGTCACTTAGGTCCTGTTTTATTTGTTCTGTACTTAAATGACCTCCCATCAGCTATTACAACGTCAAGAGTGCTAATGTTTGCTGATGATGTTAAACTTTTCTCAAATCTTAATTCTTCAAATCAATATATTTATTTACAAAATGATCTGCATTCCCTTGCAAATTGGTGTAGTTTCAACGGCATGTCTCTCAATCTCAAGAAATGCAAAAAACTATCTTTCTTTAGAACACGACATGTGTCTTGTAATTACTCAATAGGATCGTACACATTAGAAAATGTAGACTCCTTTGTTGATCTTGGTGTTATTCTAGATAATAGACTTCGTTTCCACTTACATATTGAGGCTTGTGTTAATAAAGCGAAGTCGTTGTTAGGCTTTATAAAACGTTGGTCTAAAGAGTTTGATGATCCCTACGTGACCAAACGTCTCTTTGTAACTCTTGTTCGACCTACCTTGGAATACTGTTGCGTACTTTGGAGTCCTCTCTACAAATGTTATTCTGACAAAATAGAATCCGTTCAAAAACAATTTCTTCTTTTTGCTCTTAGAGGTTTACCATGGAATACAGATTTAGCTCTCCCGCCTTATGAAAATAGATTGAAACTTATAGATCTCCCAACTCTTGAGAGAAGACGTTTAATGCTCCGCGTAATTTTTATACCCTTCACCACACTGTGGTACAGGGTATTATGTCTTTGTGCATATGTTTGTAACAGGCAAAAGGAAACGAGATAGACACATGGTTCCTTTTGAGAATATGCATAGAATCACTTTTGAAGTCGATTTATGCATGTCCGTCCGTCCGTCCGTCTGTCCGTCTGTCTGTCCATGTTAAATTGTAAACAAAGTACAGGTCGCATTTATGATCCGAATTGGATGAAATTTGGCATAGGTCACTTATTCGGCCTAAGGACGAACCCTATTAAAATTGGGAAAAATCGGTTCAGATTTAGATATAGCTCCCATATATATATTTAACCGATTTAATGTAAACGGTCTCTATATATCTTTCGATTTGCACGAAATTTGGTACAGCCTAATCATTTAGGTCTAGAGTGATGTCTGCCAAGTTTCATGAAAATCGGTCCAGATTTAGATATAGCTCCCATATATAGTTTCGTCCGATTTCATGTAAATGGTGCATCAAAAGTCCCTATATATCTTTCGATATGCACCAATTTTGGCATAACGTACTGAATTGAGCCTAGAATTATGTCTGCCAAGTTTCGTGAAAATCGGTTCAGATTTAGATATAGCTTCTATATATAGTTTCGTCCGATTTCATGTAAATGGTGCACCAAAGTCCCTATATATCTTTCGATTTGCACGAAATTTGGCATATCGTACTGCATTAAGCCTAGAGTGATGTCTGCCAAGTTTCGTGAAAATCGGTCCTGATTTAGATATAGCTCCCATATATAGTTTCGTCCGATTTCATATAAATGGTGCTTCAAAGTCCCTATATATCCTTCGATTTGCACGAAATTTGGCATAACGTACTGAATTGAGCCTAGAGTGATGTCTGCCAAGTTTTGAGAAAATCGGTCTATATAGCTCCCATATATATTTCATGTTAATAGTCCTGTTTAATATACCCATAGTGGTGAAGGGTATCATATAGTCGGCCCGTCCGACTTTACTACTTTCCTTACTGGTTATTACTAAACTTTTAAGAGGCAATATAGCTTCGAGTTTTTTAATTGGAGAAATAAAATTAAATGTACCTCCACGTAAACCGCGTAACTACATTCCACTTAAACTTTCTTTAGCTAAATCTAATTATGAATTATATGATCCCTTTCGTGCTATATGTGAGGTTTATAATAAGCTTTATAATTGTATACCATTTTACGACTCTGTAGATGCCATAAAAAATGCAATCCTTCGTATGTAGTTCTTTTGTCCTTGTTCGTAGTAAATACATATATGACCGGCTGAAATTGTTTGTAGCCGGTAGTTTTCATACCATCATATCCCTCCATAGTCCGGACTATGGGGTGTACGTGCTCCTCTCGTTATGAGGAGGTGGCCCCCTCGGTCGGCAGGGGCGGGAAAGAGTGGCGTGGGAACGATCGATAAAATTCGTCATATGCAATATCACCCTGCTGGGCATACTTTTTCATGTCACATGACATGTTTATAGTTTTCATTCAAAACAGTTTTTTACTTCTCCTACACAATTATGCTTTTGTTAGTTACGCCTTTTTGCATTTTAGCTAACGATATACTACTACAAAATACCAAATTTCAGCGAATTCGGTTGAAAATCGCGCTCAAGAACCCTAAAATACCGAAAATTTGGGGGTACCCTTATACGGGAGCCTACCTGCAGTTTTTGCCTGTCTGCAAATTTTGGCGATCTATCTCAATTCGTTTAGACGCTAGAGTGATTACAACAGACAGACGGACAGACGAACATGGCTAGATCGTCATAGAATCTTACGCCGATCAAGAATATATTCCGATGAGTTACAAATGGAAAAACAAAATTAATATGCTCATGGTACAATTATAAAAGCTACAGGAAAACCCAGCTGATTCGATTCCAACGTAATACCCGTGTCAATATGATTATGATAAATTATATTTTTAAAAATTACCCAACACGAAAATTGGATACGCATACAATTCGAAATTGTTCTTTATTTCATGTCCTCAATTAATTAGAAGGACAATACTGAATATGAATAGTAATATTCGGGAAATATGTCCGTGTAAGGAAGAAGTGCTGTTGACCTCTAATTGGGCTAGAGGCAGCAAATATCACGAAATATAGCCCAGGCTCGGAATAAACATCCGCAGATAGTAAGAGTTCCGTGGTAGTTGTGTAGGGTATTGTATGGTCGGCCCCGTCCGACTATACTGCTCCGCTCACTGTTTTTTTTAATAATTTGTATGTTTTGTATGCATTTTTT